ACCGTAGATACTCGAATAAAGAGCGTTAGAATCACACTAAAATCACAAAAATCTCCAATTACCACACATCACCCACTGACAATTTCCGCAACTGAAGCGTCAACACTCGCACACTAAAACGACAAAAGCAACAGAGAGAAAAAAAAAGAAACGTCCACTTCGTGTTTTAAGCGTGAAGAGCGCGACATCGGCGAACGATATCACCACGAAATCTCCATCGATGTCGCGAGTTACGACGCGAGTATCGGCTCCCGGCGCCTTGCAAATGTTTCACGGGGTAGGGCCGAACGAAACGGTGTCGCGGACTCCTCGTACCTCTTTGAGACATTTGTAACGTTCGTCGCAATTAAGGTAATTAATCGGTGTGACGACGCGCCTCGTCACGACTCCGCGAGACAGTGACGATCCGCGGGCGTCCCACGTGTGAAATGCGGATCGATTTGCTGGGCCCACCCACAAAGATCGATTTAAAACCACGACCTCGTCGACGGTGCTGCTTAAAGAAAAGAAGCTGGCAACTTTGAACGTGTACGTATCCTTTGAATGCCAGCGAGAATGAGTAAAAAGAGTGCGTATGTATGTGTGTGTACGTATGTGTGCGCGTGTGTGTGCGATATAAAATGAAACAGCGCGATAGAGAGTAAGAAAGAGGATGCAACACAAGGGTAGATAGAGAGAAAAGCGAAGGGAGGAGAGCATTGTGTACGTGTATGCGTGTGTGTATGCATGTGTATAGTGTTTCGCGAGCACCTTTCGCCGTTTGGTGCTTTGCGTTGCGTTCTTCTTTTTCCTTCATCTTTTTTTTTTTTTTTTTTTTTTTTTATAATAATATCAAGCTGGAAGCGCGTTTGTATGCCGCACGATCCTTGGGTCTTGTTTGTCTTTTGTTTACGTACGTATGGTAGCTCTCGCGGTGGTAATGGCACGCGGTGAGTAATAAGCTTGGTTATTTAACGAGCGCCGTTAAGGGTTGAAACGTTGACGGGTATTTTCCTATCGGATATTTAGCGATATTGCGTATTCCGTGGCAAACAGGCGTTATTGTATCGCTTCTTATCGTTGCGAAACTGTCGATTGCACGTGGACAGTGTACCCGATGGAATTCCAATTTTCCGCAAGATC